GAATGAGTCTTTTAGTTCTCACCCTTCCATTATTTTAAGTTGGATAGTGAAGGGCTTGTGGGTCAAGCTTGGCCCAGATCCATCAAGCTAGGCAGGAGCCTTTGTGGTACAAACAAACAAACCAACTTGCATACATAGTCCTTACAGACATACTTTGACTTTTAGATAAATAGATACATAGATAGATAGATGAATTAAAATATGAGACAAAGAACATTAATACTGGGGTGAGAACACGAAGAGAAGGTGTTAAGTTCATATAGGGAGATTGAGGAAGGAAGGCAACTGTACTCACAACACAGTTAACCACACCTGAAGGAGGAACAGAAGAGCACACAAAACCACAGGATATTTATAGCACGACTGAATGTGGGAACAATTATCAGAAGATGTGAAATCCTGGAAGAGAACAGCCCAGTGCTTGCTAGATGTATTGGTCCATCTGGTATAACCTTTGGGAAACCGATGTCCATGCCACCTCCACCAGAAACACAACAGTGAAACTCAATAACTTGTGATGGAAAGCTTTTTGGGAGGGGAAAGTGACACTGCCTTACTATATTTCAGAGTTCTAGAGTATAGGAAGATGCTTTGAACTTCTTTGTGCACCATAGAGAGCTATTGTGGTTTAGGAACCCTGGTGACAGTAGGGCATTTCCTGAAGTATTAGGATTGCCATACATCCCACCATCAATGAGAAGTCGCCCTCTTCTTTTCTGATGTGAGTTTGATCCTGGCTTCTATGTCCTTTTGAGGAACTTGTATGTGTGTACGTTCCTTCAAGTTGCCTGTTGACTTATGGTGGCCTCATGAATTTCATAGGATTTCCTTAGGCAAGGAATACTTGGAAGTGGTTTTACCAGTTCCTTCCTCTGGAATATAGCCAACAGCACCTGCTATTTGTTGATTCATCTCCGGCCAAATATTATTGCTTATCTGACAATATCAGACAGGATCTGACTCTTTTAGGGTATTTTGTGTGAATGTATCTTCAAGTCACTACCAACTTATGGGGACCCCATGATTCCATGAGGTTTTCTTAGGCCAGTGGTTCTCAACCTGTGGGTCTCCAGGTGTTTTGGCCTACAGCTCCCAGAAATCCCTGCCAGTTTACCAGCTGCTAGGATTTCTGGGAATTGAAGGCGAAAACATCTGGGAACTAACAGGTTGAGAACAACTCTCTTAGGCCAAGAATACTTAGAGGTGGTTTTGCCAATTCTTTCCATTGAAATATAATCAACAGCACCCTGTATTCATTGATGGTCTCCTACCCAATTACACCATGTAACAACATTTGAAAAATGTTTTGCTTTCAAACCACTTCCTGGTTTGAAAGTGTTATTCCTATTTAATTGTGCAGTACTTTCTTTGAAAGTAGTTGGTGTACTCCAGAAACTTCATTTTTGTGGCTGCTACAAACAAGGTTGAATTGGTTGAGACTTGATTATGAGATCTTCATTGGAAAACTATAACAAAATGTGCCGCAGGATGTCCCTCCTGCAAGAACAAAGTTTTTGCAGTGTAATAAACTTTTCCCATGTTTTAATTATAGAACCATTTATAACTCAGGAACAAAAATCATGTTGCTTAGTGTTAATAACTGTGCTTAGCTTCCAGGATTAGATAGGATTGGGTGCCTTGAGGGTATTACTTTGCTTCCTGGACAGGAACTCCTATTCTGTGTCTTCGTTTTTGGTATGATGACTATGCCTTTGTGGGAGTTGCAGTCTAAAAAATAAATTTTGCAACTTTGTCCCTGTTGGAATTCAAGTCTGAAGTCCTCAGCGATGAGCAGTTAGTTAGTTTAGCATAGATAGACTAAAGGTTTCCCTTCCACCATGTCTCCTGTGTAACCAGAGCCCCTGTTGATGCAGTGGGTTAAACCATTGAGCTGTCAAACATGCTGATCAAAAGGTTGCAGGCTCGAATTCAGGGAGTGCCGTGAGCTCCCACTGTTGGCCCCAGCTTCTCCCAACCTAGCAGTTTGAAAGCATGCAAGTGTGAGTAGATCAGTAGGTACCAGTGGGAAGGTAACGGTACTCCAGGCGGTCATGCAGGCCACATGACCTTGGAGGTGTCTATGGAATGTGGAGCAAGATAAAAGCTTGCATCTTGCTTGGTAGGAGATGGCATTAAGATGGTGGTGGGGACAAGTGATTCCCCTCCAGCTAGAAAAGGGGGACAGGGCAACAACATTCATTGAGCTTGTCATTTAACACATTTTCATGTGTGAGCTGCAGTGTCTTTATAAATATATGGGGTTTCGAGGAAACTTCATTACCAGTAATGTGCCATTCATGACTTGTTGGAAATTCGCCGCCTTGGAGAGACGCCAACCTTCTCAGCAACCTTTGGGCATTTAGGCATGGGAGTTTCCCACCCTGCCGGTTTGGTGGTGTTTTACTGTAAACTGGATTGAATTGCCCTGGTCTGCCTTGCAGGGAGGGGCTGACCGACCAGGGCTTTTCTTACACAAGTGGAAAGTACAGGGAAGAAGCTCAAGGAAGTGCCTTGATTTGGTTTCTGAAGATCTGAAAACAGCAAAAGTGGAATCTCCTCTCAGGACAGGGCCTCTTTTCCTACATCTTCATCTCTGGTGTGGTCCATGGTTAGACCTTGGAAAAAATGGGGTGGGTTTATAAGTTGGTTTATTAAGTTACTAAATCTTATTTAATGCATATTTTTTATCTACACTTCATGGCACACTTCCTTTCCAAGAAATACAAACATGAAACTTCAGAGAATGGAAGTGTAACTTTCTTGGGTCACAATTTCCACAAATTCTTTAGTTAGGTTGGCCCAAAAAGGTTAATGCGTGTTGAGTATCCCTTATCTGGAATGCTTGGGACCAGAAGTGTTTGGGATTTCAGGGTTTTATTATTGTTGTTGTTTGGGAATATCTGCATATGCTTACGTAATGAGATCCAAGTCTGAACAGGAAGTTCATGTATGCTTCACTTAGCTGAAGGTAATTTTATATACACCTGCGTGGTGCTAAGTCTGTACACTGAACTATCAGAAAGCAAAGCCATCCAGTGTTGGATTTTGGAGTATTTTGGAATTCTGGGTACAGGATGCTCAACTTGTCATTTCCAAGCCATTATTTACAGCTGTGGTTCCCAACCTTTTTTTGACTAGGGACCACTTGACCAGGGACTACTTGGCCAGGGACCACTTGAACAGACACAACTCTCCAACATCAGTACCAAAAGGGTTACGAATCAGTTTTTGGTCAACTTTAGATTCGGTTTGGTTATTGGGGTGCTGTTTCAGAAAACTGTATTGGATAGACCACATCAACTCTAGTTTCTGATATAGAACATATGTCATCCTGTAGTCACCATCTGCTCGCCCACAGAAAACCATATTTAATAATCTAGAGTTGATGTGGTAGTATTAATTTTTCATGAGGAGTCAGCCTCTCCCCTACCGATATCCCAGTTGCCTTGGCACTATAAGAGGGAATCGCTCTTGTTGCCACATGGTTTCAAGGCAACAGTGTAGCAATGGTGAGGCCACGGACCATATTTCTGTTATTGCGGACCACTGGTGGTCTGTGGACCACAGGTTGGAACCACTGATTTACAGTATTGTCATTGCAATTAAAGTCACACATACACAACACTAACAAGAGCCACTGCAAAGGATTCCCCCAGGTACATCAAATCACTCTCAACAAAAGATTCTCCCCAGGCACTTCCAAGCCATTAAATGCTAATCAAGGTGGTCATTTGAAACATTCACACCTAGCTCCAGCAGACAAAAGTCCTTTATCCCACCCTGGTCATTCCACACATATATAAACCCATTTTCCTACTTCCAACAGACCTCACTACCTCTGAGGATGCTTGCCATAGATGAGGCGAAACGTCAGGAGAAAATGCCCCAGAACATGGCCATATAGCCCGGAAAAACCTACAACAACCCAGATTCCCCCTTAGTACAACACAATTTGAACAAATATTTACTAGAATCATAGAATCATAGTTGGAAGAGACCTCATGGGCCATCCAGACCAACTCCCTGCCAAGAAGCAGAAAAATTGCATTCAAAGCACCCCCAACAGATGATCATCCAGCCTCTGTTTAAAAGCCTCCGTAGAAGGGGCTTCCACCGGGTTAGGGAGTTCCACTGCTGAACAGCTCTCACAGTTACAAAATCCTTCCTAATGTTCAGGTGGAATCTCCTTTCCTGTAGTTTGAAGCCATTGCTCTGCGTTCTAGTCTCCAGGGAGGCAGAAAACAAGTTTACCTTCAGAACAAGCATGCCTTCAAAATTTGTATGGTCCTTCAGTCATTGCTGGACTCCAACTCCAATTATCCTAGCCAACATGCCAATGGTGAGGAATGGTGAGAGTTACAATTTGCCTCCTCTTGGAAAATTAATACAAAAGTGTGTTTCGTTCCTCTTGTTGCTGTTGGTTTGTGCTTTCAAGTAATTTCCGATGTATGGCAACCCAGTCATGGGGTTTTCTTGGCAAGATTGGCTTGGGTGTATTGCCTTTGCCTTCCTCTGAGGCTGAGAGAGTGTGACTTGCTCGTGGTTCCCTGGTGGATTCCATGTTTGGGGCATATATTCAAACTCTATTTTCCAGAATCCTATTCCAGTGTTCAAACTACTACGCTATTCTGGCTCTTGTTTCCTTCCATACTTGACATTAGGATGAATGTCACTCCTTAAACTACTGGTGGTTAGGAATAGAAACACGATCGTGCAATGGGTGGTTCGAATCCATGAGATGGGGTGAGCCCCTGTCTGTCAGCTCCAGCTTCCCATGCAGGGACATGAGAGGAGCCTCTCATGGGATGGTAATATATCCAGGCGTCCCCTGGGCAATGTTCTTGCAGACAACCAATTCTCTCACACCAAGAAGTGACTTGCAGTTTTTCAAATCATTTCTGACACAATAAAAAAATTAAGATGAATCAAAGTCACTATCTACTGTATGTTTACTTCCCTTTGACTATTTGTATTGATTCATTTGTTTGGCTTCTATCCAGAGGTGGATAGCGTGGGCCAGAGCCACATCCAGCTGGGACAGACTCTGCGGGAAGAAGCCAGGAAGATGGAGGATTTCAGGGAGAAGCAGAAGCTCCATCGGAAAAAGGTCTGAAATAAAGAGGTTTGAGTTTATTTATGAATGAGTTCTGCTTTGGTTAGATATGCATTGATTATAGCTTCCAGGATCCTATTGCTGGGGATTTGGGGTGGGGTGGGGGGGTGGGGGTGTAACTCCCAAAATGATATTTCCAAACTCCTTAAACCACTGGTGGTTATGAATCCATAGTCTCCTTTATAGGACATGGGGTGCATCTACACTGGAACGAATGCAATTTGACACCACTTTAAAGGCTAGGCTCAATGCTATGAAATCATGGGAGCTGTATTTTAACAAGTCATTAGCTTTCTCTGCCAAAAAAATGCTGGCGCCTCACAACTTCTAGGATCCCATAGCATTGTGCCATGTGGTTAAAGTGGTACCAAACTGCATTAATTCAATGGAGTAGATTCCTCCCCACTATTTTTACCACTGTTGAGTTGGTGGAATGCAAGCTACTCTTGCATTTTGAACACAATGTACAGAAACACTCCAAGGCTGGATCTACACTGTCATATAATCCATTTTCTGGGTCAAGATGATCTACTTTGATCTGGATTATATGAGTCTATACTGCCCCTTAATTCAGTTCAAAGCAGATAATCTAGATTCCAAAAATGGATAATAGGGCAGTGTAGATATTTATTTATTGCATCAGACACAGACCAAGGGTACAGTTGTAATGTTTTTTTTTTTTAAAAAAAACAAAGTTTGCAAACTTGGCATTATACTAAATGTCCTTTGACCAGTAGCTGGCCACTTGGAGTGCCTCTGGTGTTGCTGCAAGAAGGTCCTCCATTGTGCATGTGGTAGTGCTCAGACTGCATTGTAATGGGTGGTCTGTGGTTTGCTCTTCTCCACACTCTCATGTTGTGGACTCCACTTTGTGGCCTCATTTCTTAAGATTGGCTCTGCATCTCGTGGTGCCAGAGTGTAGTCTGTTCCTTCCAAGCACCTTCCAAGTCGCCCAGTCTTCTGTGCCCAGGAAGGAGTCTCTCATTCAGTATCAGCTATGGCTTGAAGTTCCAGGTTTTAGCCTGCAACTTTTGGACTCTCACTTGCTGAGATGTTCCTGCAAGTATCTTTGTAAATCTTAGAAAACTATTAAGGCATTGACATGCTGGCTGATATCCGAACAGAGGATGGGCCAGAGATGTCACTGCCCTGGTCCTTTCATTATTGGCTGCTACTTCCCTGCGGATGTCAGTGTAATTTCTCCAGTGGTGTTAGGCATAGACATCCTGTGATAATGCGGCATGTCTCATTAAGAGCCACAACCACTGTTTTAGCGCAGTGAGATGTGTTCCACACTGGGCATATATACTCAGCAGCAGAGTAGCAAAGCGCAAGGGCAGATGACTTCACTGTGTCTGGTTGTGATCCCCAGGTTGTGCCAATCAACTTTTATATGATATTGTTTCTAGCACCCACTTTTTGCTTGATATTCAAGAAGTGCTTCTTGTAGGTCAGAGCATAATCCAGGGTAACTCCCAGGTATTTGGGTGTGCTGCAATGCTCCAGTGGGATTTCAGTGGCAGTGTAGATGGAGTGTGAGAACAAAGTGGAAAAGTGAAAAATGGAGAGAGAAACTGGAACTTTTAAAATATAATTGTAAAAAGTGAGACAATAGAGGATGAACTGGTACAAATCCTACTGGACTGGGAAAGTAGATGTGTAAGGAAAAGAGGCAAAGAAGGTACCCAAAACAACACAAAACAGGAAAACAAATAGAAATGGAAACACACACACACACACACAGAGAGAGAGAGAGAGAGAGAGAGAGAGAGAGAGAGAAACCCTGATAGAAAAGATCTAGGTGTGAATGATATTCAGTGTCTCACTCATTGCAAAGCTAGAAGGAAAATTGCATTGGTTCAGATGAGATTCTTATTTGGAGGAAGCCTCTCATTCCTCTTCCTTTGTAATATCACCCGTGGCAGCCTTAAGTCCCATCATTGGTGCAGACAAAGTGACGCCAAATGCCAAATCCTTTGAATCTTGATTCCTGACAAGAAGATAATGTGTGTGTTTGTTTTTACTGTTTGAGCTAATCTGAGGCTGTGTCACCTGAAAGGCCTGCCAGCAACAGGTTGTCCACCTTCCTATTGTCACTCAGCAAACAGAGGTTAAATACAAATCTGTCTACGACGCAGGAATCGTAGACGGTTAAGTCCATTCATTTGTCAGAAATGCAATTTATGGCTGCTGTCCTTCATCATTGCACCCAAGCACAAGATCGAGCCTCAAATGAATTTTCAAATAGGTAAAGGAAATGCAGAAAGTAGTGCAAATGGCCACTACATTATTGAAACCAGCCATTCACAAAGCAGTGGTTGATGATCCAGATGAACAAGACTGTTAATACATACCAACCAGTATCCTGTTAGTGGCCTACAGAGATGAGCATGTGTACACTATGACCCCTGTATCCACAGAACTGGTTGACAAGATTACAGTTATCCACAGTTTCACTTGTTTGGGTATTCACTTAGGGTCTTCTGTACAAACTACACTGTCTTTTCCATTGTTTGTGATGGTCTATTATCCACGGGTTCCTCTACTCACTCCACTTAGACAGGAAAACCGAAATGCAAAGATATAGAATGGGGGACAATGCCTGGCTCGAGAGCAGTACGTGTGAAAAAGATCTTGGAGTCCTTGTGAACAACAAGTTAAACATGAGCCAACAATGTGAGGCATCAGCTTTAAAAGCCAATGGGATTTTGACCTGCATCAATAGGAGTCTACTGTCTACATCCAAGGAAGTCATGCTACCCCTTTATTCTTCCTTGGTCAGACTACACCTTGAATCACACTGTGTCCAGTTCTGGACACCGCAATTGAAGGGAGATATTGACCAGCTGGAATGTGTCCAGAGGAGGGTAACTAAAACGATCAAGGGTCTGGAGAACAAGCCCTATGAGGAACGGCTTAAGAAGCTGGGCATGTTTAGCCTGAAGAAGAGAAGGCTGAGAGGAGATATGACAGCCATGTATAAATATGTGAGAGGAAGCCACAGGGAGGAGGGAGCAAGCTTGTTTTCTGCTTCCATGGAGACTAGGACGTGGAACAATGGCTTCCAACTACAAGGAAGGAGATTCCATCTGAACATGAGGAAGAACTTCTTGACTGTGAGAGCCGTTCAGCAGTGGAACTCTCTGCCCCGGAGTGTGGAGGAGGCTCCTTCTTTGGAAGCTTTTAAACAGAGGCTGGATGGCCATCTGTCAGGGGTGATTTGAATGCAATATTCCTGCTTCTTGGCAGGGGGTTGGACTGGATGGCCCATGAGGTCTCTTCCAACTCTTTGATTCTCTGATTCTATGAATTAATTAAGTTTCACACTACTTTAGCAGCTATGACTTAATGCAATAGAATAGGCATGGGCAAACTTCTTCCCTCCAGGTGTTTTGGACTTCAACTCCTACAATTCGTAACAGCCAGAAGTTTGCCCATACCTGCAATAGAATCATAGGAGTTGTGGTTTTTCAATATCTTTAACCATGTTTGTTGAATAGTGCTGACGCCTCACCAAATTTCCAATAACCATGATTCCAAAGCACTGAGGTTTGCAGTTAACCTGTTGTAACGCTGTGGATACAGCCTGCCTCTGATAAAATATGGTCTCTGTAGGCATGTTCTTGATCCTCCAGTGCAACCCTATGGTATTGGGTTTCTGCGAGTTTTTGGGCTGTACGACCGTGTTCTAGCAGCTTTTTCTCCTAACGTTTCGCCTGCATTTGTGGCTGACATCTTCAGAAGTTCTGTTGGTAGTGAGGCAAGTGGAGTCTGTATTAGGCATGGGCAATCCATGGTTTAAATGGTCCTAAAGTACTTACAAAACTAGGGGGAGCTAGTGCTTTGCTTCTAAAGTGTTGCTAAAGTTCTGGTGGTGAAAATTTCAGAACTCTAACAAAACTTTCAACATTTCATTATTATTTCGTTATTGGTGATTTTTATGACAGAACCAATTAGGAACCGCCTGTTGCATTCCAGACCAGGAAGAAGCCCTCTGACTTAAAACATGATACAACTGAGTAAAAATGCCAGCAGTTTATTGCAGGTAATTTAAAAACCATTAGCAGCAAAACACTCCAAAGAAACAGGTAAATCCAAGTAGGTAGAAAGATAATCAGGAACAAATAATCCAGGAAATAAATCCATCAGTATACATGGAAAAACCCAAAACAGAAACTTCCAAGGTAAAACTCCAAATCATGAAATCAAACAAGGTATAACTTGAATCTTTCTAAGGCAAGACAAGAGTCACCACTATGTCTTGATCCAGTTCCAGATGTTGCTTCATCTGACCACAGATTCTGTACTTCACACTTTTATCCCCTAATCTACTCTAAATCCCTGCCAGAAACTTGTTCTATTCAGCCTAGATTCTGTTATCAATTTTTCTCTCAGCCTGACAGATCACCGGAGAGATTGTTGAACAATTCTGTTTTGCCTGAAAAGCAGCCTTCTATCTTCTTGCTCATTAATTTCTGCAGCTGGGCCAGGTGCCGAGCTTTTCTCAGGCTCAAAAGCCTGGGAATTCTCTGGTAACAATTCAGACCCTCTTCCAGAGACCATCCCATCACCCCCAAACTCTTCAGGAACATTCTCATCAGCAAAGACACTTTGAACAGGAATCCCATTGTCATTCTCTGCATCTAAAGCACCCACATCATTAAAAACAGCATTGTCATTGTCATTCCCAACATCCAGAGAGCCCTGATCATTAGACACAATCACAGGCAGAACTCAAACACTGCCATTTATAACAAAATTTTGAAAGTTTTGTTAGAGTTCTGAAATTTTCACCACTAGAACTTAGAAACATTTTAGAAGCAAAGCACCAGCGCCCTCTAGTTTTGTAAGTACTTTGGAAACAATTAGAACCATGGATTGCCCATGCCTTGTGTGTGTGTGTGTGTGTATAATGTGTGTGTGTGGAATGTGCAGGGTGAGAGAAAGAATGCTTGTATGTTCAAATAAAGTGTGAGTGTTGCAGTTAGCAAGCATGAATTAGCATTAGCACACCTCCCAAAGAGAAGATGCCTCCAGGCAACAAAGGCTAGGCTACCTCTATGCAGATATCCTCACTGTTTGACTTTGCAAACATCATGGCTATTCAAATGCTAATTCAAGCTTGCTAATTGCAACTTTCATACTTGCTTCAAATAGATAAGGGCTCTTTCTCCCACCCTGGATATTATTCCACAGGTAGATATGCACTCCACTTGCCTCACTGCTAACAGAACCTCTGAAGATGCCAGCCACAGATGTAGGCGAAACATCAGGAGGGAATGCTGCTGGAACATGGCCAAACAGCCCTCAAAACTCACAACCCAGTGATTCCAACCATGAAAGCCTATTGTATTCTTCATCCAGAAATACTCAATTTCAATAAGTTTTGCTATTTTCCATGGTTTTGTGTATCAAACTATATGCATGGGAACATTTTCCCTGCAGATACGGGGGTCACACTATACTGTTCTTAAGTGAACTGGTTGACTATTCTGTCCTGGTGCAATTACTTTTCATGAACTGTAATTGCTTTCTAAAAGATAGAAAACAACGAAAAACTGTGGAATCCATATTCTCTATCTGAGAACAGAAGAAGCCGTGCAGACATGCAGAAATCCACAAAGTTGGTTTAGCTTCCGAGGCTGGATGGCCATCTGTCAGGGGCGATTTGAATGCAACATTCCTGCTTCTTGGCAGGGGGTTGGACTGGATGGCCCATGAGGTCTTTTCCAACTCTTTGATTCTATGATTCCTTTGTGCGTAGGGATTGATAGCATTTCCCCTTCTTACTGCTTGTGTGTGGCCTTGTATGTTTACACGTTGGAAACACTCCCCTTTTGCCATCTCCTATCCTTTTGCAAAGCTGCACAGACCCATTAACACTGCTGTTCTTTTCCACAGATTGAGCTCATAATGGACGCTATTCACAAAAACCGGAATTTGCAGTACAAGAAAACCATCGAAGTGAGTTCTTCCTTCCCATCTGGTTCCCATCTGGGCTTTTAAAAATGTGACGTTGCATCTTGTCCACCACATTGCTCTCCTTTTAATGATGGGGTGGCTTAATGATGCATAGCCTTTGCCAAGAGGAGAGAAGAAAAAACACATAGGGAAGTCTTCAAGTTGGATAGCCTTGCAGAGACAAATGAGATTATTCTCTTGTTAGCCTAGTGTTTCAGAATTTTGAAAAATGCTTTAGCGCAGTGGTTCTCAACCTTCCTAATGCTGTGAAACTTTAATACAGTTCCTCATGTTGTGGAGACCCCCAACTATTAAATTATTTTTGTTGCTACTTCATAACTGTAATTTTGCTACTGTTATGAATCATAATGTAAATGTCGGATATGCGGATATTATTCAATGAACTAAATTTGGCACAAATACCCGATACGCCCAAATTTGAATACTGGTAGGGATTGAGTTTGTCACTTGGGAGTTGTAGTTGTTGGATTATAGTTCTCCTACAATCAAAGAGCATTCTGAACTCCACCAACGATGGAATTGAACCAAACTTGGCACACAGAACTCCCATGACCAATAGAAAATATTGGAAGGGTTTGATGGGCATTGACCGTAAGTTTTGGAGTTGTAGTTCACCTACATCCAGAGAGCACTATGGACTCAATCAATGATGGATCCTGACAAACTTCGCACGAATACTCAGTATGCCTAAGTGTGAACCCTGGTGGAGTTTGGGGAAAATAGACCTTGCCTTGGGAGTTGTCGTTGCTGGGATTTATAGTTCACCTACAATCAAAGAGCATTCTGAACCCCATCAATGATAGAATTGGGCTGAACTTCCCACACAGAACCCCAATGACCAACAGAAAATACTGTGTTTTTGTATGGTCTTTGGTGACCCCTCTGACACGCCCTCATGACTCCCTCAAAGGGGTTCCACCCCCCAAGTTGAGAAACACTGCTTTAGAGAAAGGGGGGAAAAGTAGGGTCTCACCCACATCTCTGGAGAGTGTGGAAGCACCGCCTGCTTCTTTTGTGACCTCTTTTGTCGTGATTTCTCCTAGGCCAAGAGGCTCTATGAACAGCGATGCAGAGATAAGGATGAGGCTGAACAGGCCGTCCACCGGAGCGCGAACCTGGTCACACAGAAGCAGCAGGAAAAGGTAACCAAAGAGATAGATTTGAATGAGAGTAAAGGGCTCCTTGAACCTGGATTATATGTCTCCGGGAAGCCAAAAACTCTGCCCTAGAGTGAGGATTTTATGTCTAAACTAAAGTTTAATCTGTCTTGGATTTTAGCCACATTTTAAAATTCATTTTCTTAGCAGAAAAGACATGAATACAAAACCCAGATGCTGATACATATGTAAACATAAACATGATTGAACAACATTTATATATTGTCAAATGCTTTTATGGCCGGAATCACTGGGTTGTTGTCTTTCTCTCACCTTGGACTTTCCACAGGTATATAAACCCAATTTTCCTAGTTTCCAACAGACCTCACAACTTCTGAGGTTGCCTGCCATAGATGCAGGCAAAACGTCAGGAGACAATGCTTCTACAACAACCCAAAATGTATATAACTAACTACATCAGGCATGGGCAAACTTCCCACATAGAACCCCCATGACTAACCGAAAGTACTGTGTTTTCTGATGGTCTTTGGTGACCCATCTGACAACCCCTCTCGAGCCCCCCCAGGGGTCCCAATTCCCAGGTTGAGAAACTCTGGTATAGATGTATCCTAATAGAAAGCTGCTGCTGCTGTGACTTTTGCTTTACTGGAAATCACATCCTGGGAAAGTGCGCTCATTGATTGCAGGGTTTTGGAGTTGTAGTCCACTTCCTGAAATGCTATGTTGCCCTCCAGGCAGGGAAAGCTCTCTGACTTTAAACATCACACAGCTGAGTAAAAATACAAGCAGTTTATTGAAGATATTTTAAAAGCAGTAGCAGTAAAAAAAATCCACAAAAATAGGTAAATCCAATTAGGTAGAAAAATAGGTAGAAACAAATAGTCCAGGAAATTAGTCTATCAGAGTTCATGAAAGCAAATACTGAAACTTCCAAGGTAAAACCCCAAAACTTGAACAAGAATCAAACAAGGCACTTAGCACAGGAATCTATCCAAGGCAAGGCTTCCAGAGACCTGGAACAACGTCTTGACTCAATCGCAACATTGCTTCATCTGGCTACAGATTCTGTACTTGGCACTTTTAACCCCTAATCTACTCTATATCCCAAGCAGCCAAAAATGGATTTCTTTTCAGCCTTGACTCTATTATCAATCTCTCTCGCAATCTGGCAGAGCGCCTGAGAGTTTGGTTTGTTTGTCTGTGCTGTCTGAAAGCATTTCTCTTTCCACTGGCTCATTCATTTCTGCAGCTGGCCCAGGTGCCAAGCTTTTCTCAAGCTCAAAGCCTTGGGAATTCTCTGGTAGCAATTCAAGTCTAGGGAACATGCCATCATCCCCAAACCCTTCAGAAACATTCTCATCAGAAAAATCATTTTGAACAGGAATGCCATTGTCATTCTCTGCATCTAGAGCAACCTCATCATTAGAAACATAAACCTCAATGTCACTCCCAACATCTAGAGGTGTCTGCACCCTACACCACTGGAGAAATTACACTGCTTAGCCGGTATTGCACCACCTGATATCCGCCGGGAAGTAGCAGCCAATAGTGAAAGGACCAAGGCAGAGACATCTCCAGCTCATCCCCTGTTTGGGTATCAGCCAGCACGTCAACGACTTAAATCAAGAAATAGTTTTCTAAGATCTACAGAGACACTCGCTGGAACACCTCAACGAGTGAGAGTCCAAAAGTGGCAGGCTCAAACCCAGAACCTCAACCAATGGCTGATACCAAATGAGAGACTCCCCCCTGGGCACACAGAGAACTGGGCGACTTGGAAGGCGCTGAACAGACTGCATTCTGGCACCATGAGATGCAGAGCCAACCTTTAGAAATGGGGCTACAAAGTGGAATCCATGACATGCGAGTGCGGAGAAGAGCAAACCACTGACCACCTGCTGCAATGCAACCAGAGCCCTGCCACATGCACAATGGAGGACCTTCTTGCGGCAACACCAGAAGCACTCCAAGTGGCCAGCTACTGGTCAAAAGACATTTAATCAACTACCAAACTCACAAATTTTGTATTATGTCTGTTTGTTTGCTTTGTTCTGTTAGAAATGTAATATAATTGACTGGCTGCCCTGACACAAAATAAATATAAACAAACATCCAGAGTACCCCGATCGTTAGACACAATCACAGACTGAACACCAACACTCTAAACAAAATGCTGGTGGAAGACCCTTCTTCAAACAGCCGATGCCCTGATTGTTCTCTAACTCCTCTGTTCTTCCTTTTGTCTCTGCAGCTGTTTGTCAAGTTGGCTCAAACAAAGACAGCCTTGGAGGATGCAGGTGAGTTCTTCATTGACTCTAAAGTCAGGAGGGTTGCTTGCCAACTTTCAAATTGGCTTCTCCTCTTGTGCTTTAAGACCTATCTGATCTAGTAATGTACCCAGAGCACAGGAAAGTTCCCCTTTTGCATTCCAACTCTCAGCAATGGGCATTTTAGAAGTCCGTAGTCTCAAGTAGTGTTTATTTCAGAGTTGTATCTATACCTCTCCATGACACTGACTGAAACTATGCCCATTTGTATTTCCTAGTCCAAACGGCTGCCTGTTTTAGGTTGATTCCTAGGTAGATGGGAAAGGAGCCTGACTTCCTGCATTTATGGCACACCTTTTCCCTAGACAGCATTGAGCAGAGTGGGGTTGTAGGGTTCGTATAGCATTTTTCAATCCTTAGTACAACCCTGTGAGATTAGTTAGGCTGATTAGTTACAGCTTAATGGTATAACATTAGAAAATGTTGACCATTTCTGCTACCTTGGTAGCCACCTCTCCACAAAAGTCAATATTGACACTGAAATACAACACCACCTGAGCTCTGTGAGTGCCACATTTTTCCAAATGAAGCACAAAGGGTTTGAGGACCGGGACATCCATAGGGATACCAAGGTGCTTGTTTATAAAGCTATTGTCCTCCCAACCCTGCTATACGCCTGTGAGACGTGGACTGTCTACAGATGTCACATGCAACTCCTGGAACGATTCCATCAGTGTTGCCTCTGGAAAATCCTGCAAATCTCTTGGGAAGACAAGCAGACAAATGTCAGTGTGCTGGAAGAAGCAAAGACCACCAGCATTGAAGCGATGGTCCTCCACCATCAACTCTGCTGGACCGGTCATGTTTTCCGGATGCCCGACCACCGTCTCCCAAAGCAGTTCCTCTACTCCAAACTCAAGAATGGAAAACAGAATGTTGGTGGACAGGAAAAGAGATTTAAAGATGGGCTCAAAGCCAACCTTAAAAACTGTGGCATAGACACTGAGAACTGGGAAGCCCTGGCCCTTGAGTGCTCCAGCTGGAGGTCACCTGTGACCAGCAGTGCTGTAGAATTTGAAGAGACACGAATTGAGGGTGAAAGAGAGAAACGTGCCAAGAGGAAGGCACGTCAAGCCAACCCCGACCAGGACCGCCTTCCACCTGGAAACCGATGCCCTCACTGTGGGAGAAGATGCAAGTCAAGAATAGAGCTCCACAGTCAGCTACGGACCCACCGCCAGTACACTGATCTTGGAAGACAATCCTACTCGGATAACGAGGGATCACCTAAGTAAGTAAAGTAAGTAAGTTAGGCTGAGAAATAGTGTTCCGACTACAAAGTCATGTAATAAAAACAAATGGGTGAGTGGGGCTTTGAACAAACTTTTGCCCGTTCCTGCACCAACTGAATTGGGATCAAACTACTTTTTGCACTTTGAACTTGGTTGGCAGCAATTGATGCAAGAAAAGGGAAAAAGGGGGAAAACAAACAAGAGAAAAACTGGGGCAATTAGCTGAAAACATGGGAAGACAAAAGATTATTCAGCTGGTGCCATGATGGTGCCCTCTGGTGATTAAAACCAAAGATGCAATGGATTATTTACAGTCGTTCTTCCACATTTAGTTTTGGCTTTTGTGGATTTGATTAATCATGGATTTGATTACAAATATTATCTTTAGGAATCTCTAGGTCCTCTACTCTAGTATGAACCTGGGGTCAAACCCTTCTCCCATATTTTATGACCCTAGAGATTTCTGGAAAGAAAATTCAAAATGGTTGGAATCATATTTTACTTTGATTCCATTATTTGTCTAGAATGTTTGTTTATGGGTGCATTGATGACTTTGCCCTCCTTGTTTTCCAGAAGGGACTGAACTCCTGTTTTGTTTTCATCCAATTACAGACAGGGTCTATCAGGCAAATGTCAGCGCTGTTGAGAAGGTCAGGCAAGAATGGCAGAACGAGCACATCAAGGCTTGCGAGGTACAAAAATGAGGATTCAGATGTCCTACCTCAAGCAATGCAATCCTGGAATATCCAGGGCTGCTATTTTTTTTAGGAGTGCTCCCATAAATTATGGGCTCCTGTGTTCAAATTCTGAACCTATATAAATTTAATTTTTTGAAAATAGCCCCCGGTGGTGTAGTGGGTACCACTGAGTTGCTAAACTTGGTGACCAAAAGGTCACAGGTTCAAATCCAGGGAGTGGCGTGTCAGCCCCAGCTTCTGCCAACCTAGCAGTTCAGAAACATGCAAATGTGAGTAGATCAATAAGTACTGCTCTGGGGGGAAGGTAACGGCGCTCCATGCAGTCATTCTGGCCACATGACCATAGAGGTTGTTCCAGTGTGCCTTCCCAGAATAATGATCCCATAGCACTTCATCCCCCAAAGCACTTTATATTGTTTTAGGTCTGCTTGTATGTTCCCACAAACCGCCCCATCATTTTCGCCCATGTCCAGCATTATTTTTTAATCTTTTAAATTTTAATTACATTTGGCCTACCCGTAGATTTTAAAGTGTGTTGTCCTATTGATAATGCTTATGTTATTGTTTTATTGTTGTTGTTTTTAATTGCTTGTATTGTTATTGTTGTTGCTTGTATTGTTGTATTTTGGGCTCGGCCTCATGTAAGCCGCACTGAGGCCCTTGGGGAGATGGTAGCGGGGTATAAATAAAGGGTTGTTGTTATTATTATTATTATTATTATTATTATTATTATTATTATTATTATTATGGAGGTGTCTACGGACAACGCCAGCTCTTCAACTTAGAAATGGAGATGAGCACCAACACCTAGAGTCGAACACGATTGGACTTAATGTCAGAGGAAAACCTTTACCTGACCTAATTTATAAAATACTGACTATCTTTAAGGAATCCCACAGTCATGTTTTGCTTCTGAGTTTAATATCTTTGAAATTTCCCTTGTTTTGCCTCCAGCTTTTTGAGAATCAAGAATGTGAGCGGATCAGCTGCTTCCGGAACGCCTTGTGGCTTCACATCAACCAGCTCTCCTTGGAGTGTGTTAAGAATGATGAAGTAAGGAAGGAACGACCAACCAATTACTTTATTTATGTCCAAACTTGCCCCTAGTATTGAAATGTGGGAAATTACTACTACAGGGGACCCATGGTATCCGCTGGGATTCTATTACACTATATAACACGATTTTTGTTCCTGGGTTATAAATGTCATTTTGTAATTGCTTCTAGCATAAAAATATGTAAAAAGTTTATTAAACTGCAAAAACTTTGTTTTTGCAAGACATCCTGCAGCACATTTTGTTACAGTTTTTCAATTAATATCACTTAGTGTCAGCCAATTCAACATAGTTTGTGGCAGTCACAAAAACAAAGTTTCTGGAGTATAACAACTACTTTCAAAGTAAGGACCACACTTTCAAACCAGGAACAGACATTTTTTTAATTTTTGTTACATAGTGTAATGTGCCCACAGTTCAAATACAGAAAACGATCCATCTGGACGCAAAAGGTATTTTCCAGCTCTATGATTCTAAAAACAAGTGGAAGCTCAAGTCCCAGGGTGTACAATGGAGTGGTCAAATAGTGTCCCTTATAAAATGGCAATATTTGGATTTTTGTAAAAGAATCAAGTTACGAATGGTTTGAATCCTTGGTTGCAGAATGTGGATATGGAAGTCAAACTATATTTTTTTATAAGTTGTGGTTCAAAACAGTAACTTTAACAAGCATTAATGAGGCCATTCACTGCAATTTTCTTTATCAGCATGAGATAGATTTCCTGACTTTTTTTAAAAAAGCATCCCTACTTTAACTTGCAGAAGTCAACTAGTCAATAAGCTGATTTTAAAATCAATTTTGCAATCCCCATGTCTCGAAAGGGTGGCAGACTATGTCCCCTTCTACACTGCTATATAAAATCCAGATTATCTGAATTGACCTGGATTGTATGGCAATGTGCAGTCATATAATCCAGTTCAAAGCAGATAATGTGGATTATCTGCTTTGATTTAGTCTGGATTATAAGGCAGTGTAGAAGGAGCCTACTTTAGGGTATGGAGGAGAGTTTGCCTGTAGAACATATTCTCTCGTTTTGAAAGAAAAACGTGAATGCTTTTCACTTTCCTGGCACAGGACCCCCATGAAAGTGAAAAACTACAAAGAAATTGAGATTTTTTTTTAACCCGAGGAAACACCTCTCTGGGAATTCCTAGTTCTTTCAGCTTGACTTTATGGTCAACTTCTGCTGGAAGCTGAACCTAGAATCTCAGTAAAGGATTTACAGATTGGGTTGTTGTAGGTTTTTTCGGGCTATATGGCCATGTTCTAGAGGCATTCTCTCCTGACGTTTCGCCTGCATCTATGGCAAGCATCCTCAGAGGTAGTGAGATCTGTTGGAACTAGGAAAAAGGGTTTATATGTCTATGGAATGACGAGGCTAGGACAAAGGACTCTTGCCTGCTGGAGATAGGTGTGAATGTTTCAAATGACCACCTTGATTAGCATTTGATGGCCTGGCAGTGCCTGGGGCAATCTTTTGTTGAGAGGTGATTACATGTCCCAGATTGTCTCCTCTCTGTTGTTTTGCTGTTGTAATTTTAGAGATTTTTTAAATACTGGTAGCCAGATTTTGTTCATTTTCATGGTTTCCTCCTTTCTGTTGAAATTGTCCACATCCTTGTGGATTTCAGTGGCTTCTCTGTGTAGTCTGACATGGTGGTTGTGAGAGTGGTCCAGCATTTCTGTGTTCTCAAATAATATGCTGTGTCCAGGCTGGTTCATCAGGTACTCTGCTATGGCTGACTTCTCTGGTTGAAGTAGTCTGCAGTGCCTTTCAACAAAGCCACAGGCACTGCCAGGCCATCAAATGCTAATCATAGAATCATAGAATCATAGAATCAAATAGTTGGAAGAGACCTCATGGGCCATCCAGTCCAACTGCCTGCCAAGAAGCAGGAATATTGCATTCAAATCACCCCTGACAGATGGCCATCCAGCCTCTGTTTAAAAGCTTCCAAAGAAGGAGCCTCCACCACACATCAAGGTGGTCATTTGAAACATTCACACCTAGCTCCAGCAGTCAAGAGTCCTTTGTCCCACCCTGGTCTTTCCACAGATATATAAACCCTTTTTCCTAGTTCCAACAGACCTCACTACCTCTGAGGAAGCTTGCCATAGAATAGATGCAGGTGAAACGTCAGGAGAGAATGCCTCTAGAACATGGCCATATAGCCCGAAAAAAACCTACAACAACCCAGTGATTCCGGCCTTGACAATAGCCTTCGACAATACATTGATTTACAGATTCCTAGAGAGAATATCAAATCTGTGAACAATTTCATCCACAAATGTGGAGGGATGATTGCTGATGCCTTCATCTTCACCTGCAGTGAGTGGAATAGTTGCCTTTTCATTTTTGGCGCATCTGAGGACAACATTCTCTTGCCTCTTTCCAGAGCTACGAAGAGATCCGTAAGAGTCTTGAACAGTGCAGCATCGAGAAGGACATTGAATATTTTGTGACTCTCCGCAAGACGGGCTCCCTTCCTCCGGGTAAGTGGACCACAGTCACCTTTGTGCAGAGAATGGGGAACTACCCTCTGTCAGTTATAACACTGGGGAATTTTACTGCCAAAAAAAAAAAAAAAAGAATATTTCCATGCTTCAAAAGTTCACACAGCATAAAATACAGTTGTAACCACATTGCAGAATTATTGCAGGTTGATCCTACATGAACTGCTACAGATTTACAGTTTTGTGAGAGATGTGTCTTTCTCTGTTGGAGACTTCTGGTGCCACAGCAAATGACAAATCCCAGGAGTCTATGGCAATTGAAGGAGTGCCAAACTGTGATTATTCTGCAGTATAAATGGTCTCTGCAACAAGAAATGTGCTCAAAATGGGAAGTCTGCTACATTCCTGAATAAACTGAGAGACGGCAAATATGACTGAAGTGACCAAGCATTTAGAATCATAGAATCAAAGAGTTGGAAGAGACCTCATGGGCCATCCAGTCCAACCCCCTGCCAAGAAGCAGGAATATTGCATTCAAATCACCCCTGACAGATGGGCATCCAGCCTCTGTTTAAAAGCTTCCAAAGAAGGAGCCTCCACCACACTCCAGGGCAGAGGGTTCCACTGCTGAATGGCTCTCACAGTCAGGAAGTTCTTCCTCATGTTCAGGTGGAATCTCCTTTCTTGTAGTTTGAAGCCATTGTTCCGTGTCCTAACTACAAGAAAGGAGATTCCATCTGAACATGAGGGAGTTGTTTAGCTTTTTAATACTCATTGTTTTCTCTCCATGGAGTTTTTAAGTGATTGCTATATATATGGTGTAGTGGGTTAAGCCGCTGACTTGCTGAACTTGCTGAACAAAAGGTCACAGGTTCGAATCCGGAGAGTGGCGTGAGCTCCCACTGTTAGCCTGAGCTTCTGCCAATCAGCATTTCAAAAACGTGCAAATGTGAGTAGATCAATAGGTACTGCTCCACCGGGAAGGTAATGGCACTTCATGCAGTCATGCTGGTCATATGGTGTCTATGGACAACGCCGGTTCTTTGGCTTAGAAATGGAGATGAGCACCAACCCCCAGAGTTGGACATGGCTGGACTTGATGTCAGGGGAAAACCTTTACCTAACTCTACACACACACACACACACACACACACACACACATGATGGGTGATCCCTGGCTTGCAAGCAGTCCATGTGAAAGGGATCTAGAAAGGGATCTAGGAGTCTTAGTAGACCACAAGCTGAGCATGAAAGCCAATTTATTTATTTATCATGTCAGGAGCAACCAGACATTTGTATTACATTTTTAACAAAACAAAACACAAAGTTTGCAAGCTTGGCAGTTGATTAAATGTCCTTTGACCAGTATCTGGCCACTTGGAGGTCCTCCATTGTGCATGTGGCAGGGCTCAGGTTGCATTGCAGCAGGTGGTCAGTGGTTTGCTCTTCTCCACACTCGCATGCCGTGGATTCCATTTTGTGGCCCCATTTCTTGAGGTTGGCTCTGCATCTCGTGGTGCCAGAGCGCAGTCTGTTCAGCGCCTTCCAAGTCGCCCAGTCCTCTGTGTGCCCAGGGGGGAGTCTCTCATTTGGTATCAGCCATTGATTGAGGTTCTGGGTTTGAGCCTGCCACTTTTGGACTCTCGCTTGCTGGGGTGTTCCAGCAAGTGTCTCTGTAGATCTAAGAAAACTATTTCTTGATTTAAGTCGTTGACGTGCTGGCTGATACCCAAACAAGGGATGAGCTGGAGATGTCACTGCCTTGGTCCTTTCACTATTGGCTGCTACTTCCCGGCGGATGTCAGGTGGTGCAATACCGGCTAAGCATTGTAATTTCTCCAGTGGTGTAGGGCGCAGACACCCCGTGATAATGCGGCATGTCTCATTAAGAGCCACATCCACTGTTTTAGTGTGGTGAGATGTGTTCCACACTGGGCATGCATACTCAGCAGCAGAGTAGCATAGCGCAAGTGTGGCAGTCATCAAGAAGAAAAATAATTAGAACCTAATGAAATTAATGAAGAAGTCTTACCTTAAAGGTTTCTTAAGGTGCGGGGGTAGAATTATGGTGGAAGGGAAATTGACAGATGGAACAGGACTGGAACAAGGCAGGAGAAACCATATCTTAAGTAAATAAATAGAAGGACGGCTATGTGCTAAATGTGGAAGGTCAGAGAATTGGCTCTAAAAGTAAATCGATAATTATTGATCCAAGAAAAACAAACATCTGAAGATATGGTACAACAGCGCCATCTATCCTCCATCTGATGTAAATAGCAGGTAATTCAGTCCTATGAACAATCCTAAGTAAAAATATAGGAAAATGATGTGAAAGTAATTACAGAAGAATTAATAAGGGAAATGCTTGCTTTGAATAAGTTAAAGATACACATATGAAGATGTATGGAGTCATATATATGTGTGAAGAGATATATGAAGTTAAGATTCACTTTTATGTATCTCATCTGGGAATGTGTCTGGTCAGCTGATGAAAGGGGAGCAGTGGAAATTATAATATCTTGCCAAACAAGTGTTCTTGGCTGCGATTCCTCGAGGACAAACTGATATTGATTAGATTGTGTAAATGTCAAGAGAATTATGCGCATGTGCAAACTAAGTAATTCTGCCTATAAATACTGGATGCTTTTGGGTAGTGCTCTGTGCCACATCAGCCATGTTGAAGCTGGGGCGCCCTTACCCGGGGTAAGCAATAAATTCTGTGAACTTGCAACAGCTGTCTCTGTCTCTTCCTTCTTCGCTGATCTCGGAATCTTGGAAAACGGGGACACTCCGTAACACAAGGGCAGATGTCTTCACTGTGTCTGGTTGTGATCCCCAGGTTGTGCCAGTCAGCTTTCGTATGATATTGTTTCTAGCACCCACTTTTTGCTTGATATTCAGGCAGTGCTTCTTGTAGGTCAGAGAACGGTCCAGAGTGACTCAAAAGCCAATGCGATTCTAGGCTATTTAAATAGTTTAGTGTCAAGATTGAGTGACGGCAAAATCCAACTCTATTCTGCTTTGGTCAGAGGTCACCTGCCATAATGCTGTGTCCAGTTCTGGGCACCACAATTCAAAAGGGATACCACCACTTCATATTTTCTACATGCATTAATTAAATACTTTCCGTAGCACACATCTCAAAAACAACACACCCATCTCTCCATGCGACATCATTGTTGTAACTTTTCTTGGAGTCAGTCATTGGCCAAGAAATGAGCATTGTGTGAAATGTTTTGTTTTTTTTTACCCAATGTTTTGGTTCATTGACCAAATACAAATACTACACGTTTCCGTCCTTTCTTTCTGCAGCACCCGTGGTCTATGAAAACTATTATAATTCACAGAAGAATGCAGGGTCAGGGAAAAATCAAGCTCCGGCACCCGGGAGGTAAGAAGGAGGCATTGCTGAAGCTTAATTAATGCCTGAATTGTACTTACAGTAGCATAATGATGTATACATTGAAATTAATGCCCCTCCACACAGCTGTATCTGCTTTGGACTGGGTTATCTGAGTAAACACTGCCATATCATAGAATCATGGAATCATAGAGTTGGAAGAGACCTCATGGGCCATCCAGTCCAACCCCCTGCCAAGAAGCAGGAATATTGCATTCAAATCACCCCTGACAGATGGCCATCCAGCCCCTGTATAATCCAGTTCAATGTGGATTTTATACCGCTGTGTGGAAGGGGTCTCTAATATATGAATGTTATTGTATGTATTTTATGGTGATGTGTTTTAACAGTGTTGTGCCCTGCCTAAGCTGAGAGGAGAGGTGGGTAACACATACCGTATATATTGCTGTTGTTATCTATATATATATAAATGCTCTGGGCATAATGAGTACCTTAAAAACAATAGAACCAATGAACGAAATCACACCAAATTTGGCAACAAAATCTCTCACAACACAAGGAGTGACCATCACTCAAAATTTATGATTTTGTCATTTGGGAGTTCTAGTTGCTGGGATTTATAGTTCACCTATAATCAAAGAGCATTCTGAACTCCACCAACAATGGAATTGAACCAAACTTGGCACACAGAACTCCCCTGACCAACAGAAAACACTAGAAGGGTTTGGTGAGCATTGACCTTGTGTTTGGGAGTTGTAGTTCACCTACGTCTAGAGATCACTGTGGACTCAAACAATGATGGATCTGCACCAAACTTGGCACGAATACTCAATATGCCCAAATATGAGCACAGATGGAGTTTGGGGGAAATAGACCTTGATATTTGCATGTTGTAGTTACTGGATTTATAGTTCACCTACAATCAGAGCATTCTGAACCCCACCAACGACAGAATTGGGGCAAACTTCCCACACTGAACCCCCATGACCATCAGAAAATGCTTAAGGCCATCCAGTCCAACTCCCTTCATCAGGGCAAGAAAACGTAATCAAAGCCCTCCTGACAAAGAGCCATCCAGCCATAGATATAGATAAAATCATAGAATCAAAGAGTTGGAAGAGACCTCATGGGCCATCCAGTCCAACCCCCTGCCAAGAATCAGGAATACTTGCATTCAAATCACCCTTGACAGATGGCCATCCGGCTTCTGTTCAAAAGCTTCCAAAGAAGGAACCTCCACCGCACTCCGGGGCAGAGAGTTCCACTGCTGAACGGCTCTCACAGTCAGGAAGTTCTTCCTCATGTTCAGATGGAATCTCCTTTCTTGTAGTTTGAAGCCATTGTTTCGTGCCCTAGACAGATAGATAGATAGATAGATAGATAGATAGATAGATAGATATGATTCTCACACACACACAGATATAGTATCATAGATTTGAAAGGGAACCCTAAAGAAGGACAATTATGTGTTGCGTGTTCCAGAGTAGGCAAACCAGACAAATCTCCACATCAACACTGACAAAGAAACAGCAAGAAATACTGTTTACCCACAAGCATAAGGAAATTATATATATTAGAAACCAACACTTTCTCATTACTTTATATTCTAGATCACCAGACAGGGCCACAGCAATGCTTGGCAGGGGGACAGCTAGTATACTAATAAATTATAATTATTAGCCATTATATGCAACCCTTGAATGTTCATGAAGGGATGGTGTGAATTTTTTCTACCTCTTTACATTAAAGTTGGGCTGGAAGCATTGCAGGGGCCTCCTGATACATGAAAATTATTTCAAGGGTTTTCTCTCTCTCTTTTCTGCAGGAGGCCACAGTGCCCTGTTCCAGCCAGCAAACCAAGTAAGCAAAACAGTGTCTTTGTGTGAATTGAGAAATACTAATGCAATCACCTTTCCCCCAGTCTTTTCTTCAAGGATGCATTTCTTTTCCTTTGTAATTTATGGGAACATCCCAGATTAGGCTGCAATAGGTGCATGTAAGTTTTGGGAACGAAGATGAGAAATGGCAGCAGGAATGGCCACTTGATCCTTTGTCTTTCCATTATTGCAACTGATTTATTATTCCATAGCATTCAGTCATGGCAATTAAAGTGGTGCCAAAGTGCATTAGTTCTACAGTGTAGATGCACCCATTGTCTATCCACCTGTCTTCCTCTTTTTCTGCTCACCAGTTGTATTAACTATTGTCTTTTGTAATGAATTATGTCAGAATTATGTCCACAGTATGATAGCTTCAGCTTAGTTGCTTTGGTTTCTTGGACTAGTTCAGGCTTGATTTCTTCTTGGACCAATTTATTTACCTTTTCAGCAGCCAATGATGACGGAAGAACTCTCTTCCAGCAAATTTAAATCAGTTGATACCGTCTGTTTTCACAGTGTAGCTTTCACAACCATACTAATCACTTTTGTGTTGTGTATTTTGCAGCGGATCCGGAGTACTCTACTGTGGACGGTTATAGTTTGATACATCACCCCTAACCTAGAAAGGGTACGTTAAAAAAATGGAAATGAGATTTGTTTGGAGGTGACAAGGGATGGCTGAGAATTTGTCACTGTTTTCAGCTAGTCATTCATAAATGTTATGATGTGTTGGAAACCCCCTCTCCAACCCTTCTAGTACGTCTTAAAACTTGGGAAAACCTCTAGATGGTACAAAATACAGTATCATCCCCATATCCGTGGGACCAGTAGCCGTGGTTTCATTTACCCTCTCTGAAAACATATCCTCTGGGTTGTTGTAGGTTTTTTCAGGCTATATGGCCATGTTCTAGAGGCATTCTCTCCTGACGTTTTGCCTGTATCTATGGCAAGCATCCTCAGAGGTAGTGAAGTCTGTTGGAAGTAGGAAAATGGGTTTATATATCTGTGGAATGACCAGGGTGGGACAAAGAACTCTTGTCTGTTAGGTGTGAATGTTTCAACTGACCACCTTGATTAGCATTTGATAGCCTGGCAGTGCCTGGGGCATGAAAGCCTTCGACAAAACATATCCTCTGTTGGCATTTTCTATGTCCTTCAAGATATTTTCTAGTGGCTTCTATCAAAATTTGACTGTGGAGGGCTTAGTGATATCTAGAGATGAGTCCTCCCTAGACATTTCCTGGGCCCAACAGATGTCATTTATTCATTGATTGGAGGACCAAGTGATATCTAGAGAGGTGTCCTCTTTAGGTGTATCCTAAGTCCTGGATACAATGGAAGTCATTAATTCATTAATTCATTCATTGGAGAACCTAGTGATATCTAGAGAGGTGTCCACTCCAGGTATTTCCTAGATCCAGTGGCAGTCATTCATTCATTCATTTGGAGGAACTAGCAATATCTAGAGAAGTGTTCATTCTAAGCATTTTCTAGATCTAATGGAAGTCATTTATTCATTCATTGGAGAACATAGCGATATCTAGAGCGGTGTCCTCTTTAGGCGTATCCTAAGTCCTAGATCAATGGAAGTCATTCATTCATTCATTTGGAGGACCTAGTGATACCTAGAGAGGTGTCCACTCTAAGCATTTCCTAGATCCAATGGAAGTAATTCATTCATTCATTTGGAGGACCTAGTGATATCTAGAGAAGTGTCCATTCTAAGCATTTCCTAGATCCAATGGAAGTCATTCATTCATTCATCTTAGGACCTAGCAATATGTATAGAGGTGTCCTCTTTTGGAATATCCTAAGTTCTAGATCCTACAGACGTCATTCATTCATTCATTCATTTGGAGCTCCTAGTGGTATCTAGAGAGGTTCTCTTTAGGTGTATCCTAGATCCTCAGCCCAACAGAAGTCATCCATTTAATAGGACTCACTGTTAACTACTGTTTAACATATCCACGCAATATCCTGGTCCCTACTTTATAATGAAATCCTTGCACCTCCTTGATAGCAAGTCTTGACAGCTCAGATGTTCTGAGGCAGCAAAGCCAAACTCAAGCCCTAATGCCTTTGCTGAGATAGAACATTGTGAGCCACATTTGTACCTTACCTAGGGCCATCCTTGCTATTAACCAGAGAAGGGCACATGTTTTGGGTTGCAGATTCAGAAGAGCAGCAATGGCAGCCCCCATGGAGGACAATGTCCTGCCACCTGAAATGTCCTGAAAGCAAAATGGACAGTCATCCCTTCCCATTTGCTGGGTTTAGGGGCACAGGACACTTGTGAAAGTAAAAAACCATAAATAAAGAAAACCTCATGTAATGCTATATCTAGGTTTTGTACATTCCATAGATATTTGGAATTCATTGGTAGTGTGCTCTGATACCTCTCCAAACTACACATTTTGGGATGGAATGCAACATAAATACTATTATTGAAACAAGATGAGTCCATAGCAAACAAGATTGCTCTGCTGGTGTTGTATTGGATCACACGTCGGACACTTCCCAAGTGTCTAGGACAGTGTGATGTATTGGCAAATAATGTGTGCAGATCCGAGTAGGATGGTCTTTAGCAGCTGACAGATGGTAATTTTGTCAGGGCCGATTGTTTTTAAGTGCAGGCCAAGGTCTTTAGGCACTGCACCCAGTGTGCTGATCACCACTGGGACCACCTTTACTGGCTTTGCAGTTTGATCTTCAAATCCTCATATTATGTCAGCTTTTCCAGTTGTTTCTCTTCAATCCTGCTGTCGCCTGTGATTGCAACATTGACGATCCGTACTTTGTTTTTTAACACGATCGTGAGGTCAGAAGTCTTGTGCTCCAAAACTCTGTCTGTCTGAATTCAGAAGTCCCAGAGTACTTTGATGTGTTCATTTTCTGTAACCTTTTCCAGCTTGTGATCCCACCAGTTCTTTGTCGCAGGCAGATGGTATTTGTGGCACAAGTTCCAATGGATCATCTGAGCAACGGTGTTATGCCTCTGCTTGTAGTCTGTCTGCGTGATCTTCTTGCAGCAGCTGAGGATGTGATCTATTGTTTCATCTGCTTCCTTGCAGAGTCTAAATTTGGGATCTGTCATCAACTTTTCAATTCTGGCTTTGATGGCATTTGTTCTAATGGCTTGTTCTTGGGCCCTCCGTCCCCTTTTTCAAAGTCTCATTTGTGAGCCACATCCATGTTTTTTCTTTGTCAATTTGGCTCTCAATGCTTCCCAAGAATTGTCCATGGAGAACCTTCTTTTTCCAGTTTTCTCTTCTGCTCTGCGTTGTGTTTTTACAGTATTCATTCATTGTTTGTTGCACTTGAAGCAGTTTACTACTGTTGACTTCCCTCAATGTTGGTTCTTGACTGCCTTTCACATAATCTTCCAGTTATGAATACATTGGAACCAAAGTGCTATTTAGTATTGTTGCCCTTCTAACATGCTACAATTTGCTCACAATACATATCTTTTCACCCACAGACCTTGATGCCTTGTTGCCCCCCTGTACCTCCATAAGGAAGGAAAGAAAGAATGCAAGAAAGAAAGAAGAAAGACTGTGTTTTTCAATTTACTTTTTCCTTTCTCTCTCTTTTTATAAAGTTTTCTCACACACACACACAAAGAGAGAGCACAAAAAGGACACATTTTAAAAAGACACAAAGACCTCATGATTTCTTGGCACCTTTCAAGGGAGGCGTGAGTAGGGGAATCCTTAAGCATCACATTGTCGGAGGTGCAAATCCCGTGTTTGGATCACTAGTGTCTTAAGTAAGTTGCCACCGCTCTACCTTACCTACCTCACAGGGTTGTTGTGAGGACAAACAAGAGGCAACCCCATTAGGTTGTCTTAAAACTTCTTGAAGGAAATGTTGGACAGTATTTTAAAAACTCTTACTTGCCACATGAGCCTAAGGGAGAAATGGATATGCATGGAGGTGGGTTTTTGGAAAGCGTTTTCCCTCGTTTTGTTGGAGCTGAGTACAGAAGGAGTGAAGTAACCCTAAATTATCTTAAACAATAACATGTTAAGAAGATTTATTGTGCACTAGCCGCCCCCTGCCACGCATTGCTGTGGCCCAAATGGGGGTTCTGTGTGGGAGGTTTGGCCCAATTCTATCGTTGGTGGGGTTCAGAATGCTCTGTGATTGTAGGTGAACTATAAATCCCAACAACTACAACTCCCAAATGCCAAGATTATATTTTCCCCAAACTCCACTAGTGTTCACATTTGGGCATATTAAGTATTCGTGTAGAGTTTGGTCCAGATCCATCATTGTTTGAGTCCACAGTGATCTGTGGATATAGGTGAACTACAACTCCAAAACCAAAGGACACTGCCCACCAAACTCTTCCAGTATTTTCTGCTCGTCATGGGAGAACTGTGTGCTAAGTTTGGTTCAATTCCATCCTTGGTGGGGTTCAGAATGCTCTTTGATTGTAGGTGAACTATAAATCCCAACAACTACAACTCCCAAATGACAAAATTATATTTTCCCCAAACTCCACTAGTGTTCACGTTTGGGCATATTGAGTATTCGTGTAGAGTTTGGTCCAGATCCATCATTGTTTGAGTCCACAGTGATCTGTGGATATAGGTGAACTACAACTCCAAAACCAAAGGACATTGCCCACGAAACCCTTCCAGTATTTTTTGTTGGTCATGGGAGAACTGTGTGCCAAGTTTGGTTCAATTCTATCGTTGGTGGGGTTCAGAATGCTCTTTGATTGCAGGTGAACTATAAATCCCAGCAACTACAACTCCCAAATGCCAAGATTATATTTTCCCCAAACTCCACTAGTGTTCACATTTGGGCATATTGAGTATTTGTGTAGAGTTTGGTCCAGATCCATCATTGTTTGAGTCCACAGTGATCTGTGGATATAGGTGAACTACAACTCCAAAACCAAAGGACACTGCCCACCAAACCCTTCCAGTATTTTTTGTTGGTCATGGGAGAACTGTGTGCCAAGTTTGGTTCAATTCCATTGTTAGTGGGGTTCAGAATTCTCTTTGATTGTAGGTGAACTATAAATCCCAGCAACCACAACTCCCAAATGACTTTTGAGTGAAGGACATACATTGGGTTGTTAGGTGTCTTGTGTCCAATTTTGGTGTCGATTCATCCAGTGGTTTTTGAGTTCTGTTAATCCCACAAACGAACATTACATTTTTATTTATTTAGATTCATCATTGGGAATGAATGTATGGTAATCAAATGTCAATGCCAATATTTGGGGTAACTGCAATTGTGCATTGTTATATGGACCCAGAATTCAGCTTCCACTAATCCTAATATTTTTTGCAAGATGGAAAAAACATGTAAAATTCACTGCTTTGCGTCTAAAGAAATCCACAGTGAAGGTTTCTGCACTCCCTATAACATTCTTGTCATTTGTTTTGGGAAAGTGGAGATTATGTTGTTGGACTACAACTCCCAGCCATGCTACGTAGTGTTTCCGGCACTTGCGAGTTAGATATTTGGAGACCCTATGATTCCCACCTATAGTCTTTCCCACAGCCTCTCATTCTCCCCTTCCTATAATATCCCATTTTATCTCATAATCCCATTGAAATTGCAGCCAGGTGCATCTTCATAGTCATACACCTCCTTTGAGGCAAGGAGTCATTGTTTGAAGCTGCATTCCTTAATAATCTGATGTGGAGCTCAAACTTCATTTAACTTTGTGGTTATCGGCGAATAATGTGTGCAGATCCGAGTAGGGTGGCCTTTAGCAGCTGACAGATGGTAATTTTGTCAGAGCTGATTGTTTTTAAGTGCAGGCCAAGGTCTTTAGGCACTGCACCCAGTGTGCCAATCACCACTGGGACCACCTTTACTGGCTTGTGCCAGAGTCTTTGCAGTTTGATCTTCATATCGTGTCATACCGTGTCATATCGTGTCTTCATATCGTGTCAGTAAATTTAACTTATTGGTATCTAACACTTCATCCCTTCGTTCTACTGGTTTTGAACTCGATGCTTCAGCTGTAGATTGATAGAAAAAATAAAATGTTTTGTCTGATAAGTACAGATAACCCTCCACCATTGTGGACTTAGATTTTGAAAAGATTTAATTAATGTTGTCTCTTTGCATCAACACTGTAGAATTAATATTGCTTGACCCCACTTTAACTTCTATGGCTGTGTTATGGTAGCCTGAAAGTTTTAGTTCAGCAAGGCACCAGAACTTTTTGGCAGGGAAGGCTAAAGACCTTGCAATACTACAGCTCCCAGGGCCATGTTATCACAGCAGCTTAAACCACCTGCTATTGAATATCCTGCTGAACGGAAGGTTGGCAGTTCAAGCCTGGGTCGGGGTGAGCTCCCAGCCATCAGCCCAGCTTCTGCTCACCTAGCAGTTCGAAAATAATAATAATAATTAATAATAATAATAATAATAATAATAATACTTTATTTATATTCCGCTCTTTCTCCCCAAAGGGACTCAGGGCGGATTCATAGAATAACAGAATCATAGAGTTGGAAGAGACCTCATGGGCCATGCAGTCCAACCCCCTGCCAAGAAGCAGGAATATTGCATTCAAATCACCCCCAACAGATGGCCATCCAGCCTCTGTTTAAAAGCTTCCAAACATAAAAGGCAAACATTCAATGCCCAAATACAACAACAATACATCCATACTAACAAAATGTATATAACCCAACATATAAATACGAATTATAACTTAACAAACTAAAAGCACAGCCTATTATAACAGACTTAAGACAAAACATCAAACATCAAATGGAAACAATAATAAAACAATGATGTAAGTATTGTCGAAAGCTTTCATGGCCGGAATCACTGGTTGCTGTAGGTTTTTTTTGGGCTATATGGCCATGTTCTAGAGGCATTCTCTCCTGACGTTTTGCCTGCATCTATGGCAAGCATCCTCAGAGGTAGTGAGGTCTGTTGGAACGCTAAAATTACAACAGCAAAACAACGGAGAGGAAACAAACAAGGACATCTAATCACCTCTCAACAAAAGATTGCCCCAGGCACTGCCAGGCCATCAAATGCTAATCAAGGTAGTCAGTTGAAACATTCACACCTAGCTCCAGCAGACAAGAGTCCTTTGCCCCACCCTGGTCATTCCACAGATATATAAACCCTTTTTCCTAGTTCCAACAGACCTCACTACCTCTGAGGATGCTTGCCATAGATGCAGGCAAAACGTCAGGAGAGAATGCCTCTAGAACATGGCCATATAGCCTGAAAAAACCTACAACAACCCTGTGATTCCTGTCATGAAAGCCTTCGACAATACATTAAATAAAGTATATTTATTCCATATCATTCCATAGTTAAAAGTGGTGTCAAAACTGCATTAATTCTACAGTGTAGATGCACCCTTAGCAAAGCACTGTCCCGATCCCCAAATGCAAGGCTGCTGGGCAGTCTTCACGGCTAGGTTTTGTCTCCCGTTCCAGAACTCCCACGTTTTGAATAATATTAACATATTGAGATAAAAAGGGTACATTGAGCTGCAATATGTTTATTGTGTTATATATCGTTGTGTAAGTTTTTATGTTATTCTAAGCTGCTTTTGGCATGATTTTTACCATGAGAAAGCAGCCTATAAATATAACCAATGAGGGTAATTCTCTTTTACTAATTTCTTTAATTGTTTGATTTGTTTGTATGGCTGAATGAGAGAGCAATAGATTTGCTGCCTTGTATTGCTGAAGGTTAATAAAACATAAATGGAGAAATGATTACAAAACTGTGAAACTTGTGTCATTGAAACATATAATGTCTTTTGTCAATCCATTGCTTCAGGCATTGTCCCAAGAATACTTTAAAGAGATTATTTAATCAAAGCTAGTAGGGGGGTGCAAAATTTTGGAGGCAAATTCATAATTTGGGAGATTAATATGATTCAGTAATTACGAATTACAAATTGAATGTGTGCTTGAGATCCGTTCTATGTCGTAAAAACTTATACTTAGAAAGTAGTTCAAAATTACACTTCCCTTTCTCTAGCCCTAGCCAGAAGATGGGATTACTATTATATTATTATGCATTATTATCTATTATTGTTAGATGCATACAGTTGGCAAGGACCCCTAAGGACATCCAGTCCTACCCCATTCTGCCAAGCAGGAAGATGGAATTACTATTATACTATTACACATTATTATCTATATTATTGAGCCCTCGGTGGCGCAGTGGGTTAAACCCCTGTGCCGGCAGGATTGAAGACCGACAGGTCGCAGGTTCGAATCCGGGGAGAGGCGGATGAGCTCCCTCTATCAGCTCCAGCTCCTCATGCGGGGACATGAGAGAAGCCTCCCACAAGGATGATAAAAACATCAAATCATTCAGGCGTCCCCTGGGCAACATCCTTGCAGGCGGCCAATTTTCTCACACGACAAAAAAAAATCTATATTATTATTATTATTATTATTATTATTATTATTATTATTATTATTATTGTATTTTATTATTATTAGACTCATAGAGTTGGCAGGGACCCTAAGGACATCCAGTCCCATTCTGCCAAGAAGGAGGATAGAATTATTGTTATACTATTACATATTATTATCTATTATTATTATTGTTGTTGTTATTCTATGTTGTTGTTCTTCTTCTTCTTATTGTTGTTGTTGTTGTTATTCTATTTTATTATTATTATTATATTATTAATAGACTCATACAGTTGGCAGGAATCCTAAGGACATCCAGTCCCGTTCTGCCAAGCAGGAAGATGGAATTACTATTATACTGTTACGCATTATTATCTATTATTATTATTCTATATTATTATTATTATTATTACAATTATTATATTTTATTATTATTACACTCATACAGTTGGTAGAGACCCCTAAGGACATCCAGTCCCATTCTGCCAAGCAGGAAGATGGAATTACTATTATACTATTACACATTATTATCTATTATTATTGTTATTGTTATTATTCTATTTTATTAATATTGTTTTTTATTATTATTAGACTCATACAGTTGGTAGGAACCCTAAGGACATCCAGTCCCATTCTGCCAAGCAGGAAGATGGAATACTACACATTATTATTATTATTATTATTATTATTATTATATTTTATTATTATTAGACTCATAGAGTTGGCAGGGACCCCTAAGGACATCTAGTCCCATTCTGCCCAGCAGGAAGATGGAATTACTATTATACTATTGCACATTATATTATTATTATTATTATTATTATTATTATTATTATTATTATTATTATTATTAGACTCATATAGTTGGCAGGGATCCCTAAGGACATCCAGTCTCATTCTGCCAAGCAGGAGGATAGAATTACTGTTATACTATTATGCATTGTTATCTATTGTTGTTGTTGTTGTTGTTATTATTATT